CAGGCGCAGGAGCTTTTGCTCGGTGTGGAGTTGCTTCGCATCCCCAAAGAAAGACAGAGCTTCTAGAAGTAGGGCTCACTTTTACGAGAGAGAGGCATACGTTCCTATACGTTTTCTGGCTGCACTGGGGAAATAATTACTCTCGTCGCCGTGGGGTTAAGCCTATATAAAGGGTAACCACGTTAAACCCCTAGCGACATCTGTTGCGAAACTTCAAGGGGAGTCATACAAGTGCTAGATAGACAGACCATTCGGCGCTGATGGATCAAATTCAGCTTTTTCCCTATTAGTCATGGCGCGACACCTGTCATGCGTAAAGTTTGTTGAGTATGGGCTAAGAAAATAAGATCATCTCTTAAACGAACAAAAGAACTGTCGGTCGAACTACACACAGCCGCATTAAGAAGTAACGCAAATGAAAAACTTTATGCTGTAAAGCTTTATATATATATGAGGTGCTCTCGCATTTGATCAAACATCAAGCTTCATTGGGGATTTCCAGACTTCATTTGGGGATATTGCAGTAGATACTCTATGCAAAAGTTAAACGTTGCAATTTGTTGAGAAGAAGCAAAAAAATAACCAGTCTGCTGTTAAATTTTGCCAGCATCCACGAATCGATTTCGCTGGATATAGTTTGATGAATTAAGTGCACAAGTTCTAAAGAACAAAATGCGATAAACAAAGATGTGAAAAGAGAAATGGAATCAGGAAACTTTCGCAATGTTCCTGTGCCAATAAAACAGAAAAATGTATGGAGTAAAGAGAAACCTACTAACTTTTGTGGGATAGTTGATTAAAATGTGAACTTAACGAGCGTCTTTGTGAAGAATTCCTCACTCTGTAACTATTTTATGTACATACTTGCGTAAGTGCTTATGCCTAGGTGCACAGGGCTCTTTTGCAAGTGATGGGCTGGTTTAGCATTGTGCTCTTAAACTTTTCTTCTTTATATAAATTTTATTCATGTCTTTCAATACAAATTTTTTTCAACAATTGATTAAATATGTAGCAGAGCAACCCGAAAGATAGTGAACTACATTGAATTAAATTAAAATCAAGGGAGTCCTGACGGATGATCGAAATATTTCTGAGGTGGAAAAAAAGTAGTAGTAAATTTTATAGACACTTTTGTTACCAAAGTTAAGTTTCCAACTCTGATGATGAAGAATTTTAGCATTTTTGCCGTATTGTACTTATTTGTTTGCAATGTTTCAAGCTATAAAAGTCTAAATTTGAGCTATGAAGTTTCCAAAGCCGTAACGTAACTTTAAGTGCACATACGCCCAATTAAGGTCGTTGTAATCTTGTGTTGGCTTGTGCTTTCAAAAAAATAGCGAAATATGCATAACATAGAAATTTAAGTATATATATGAACCGTTTTTCTTACGCTTCTTTTTTCACCTCTATTCTCGAAATATTTTTTTATAACAAATCATTGCAGAATGTTCCTGTCAGTCGCTTATGAGAATCATGAAAACATTTGAAACCTTATTGTTTTTGTTCACATTTCAAATAATGTATTTATGCAAACAAACTAATACAAACACACCCACAACTTTGTAAGCAAGATATATATTATAGTTTTATGTCCCACACCTTTTATGGTACAAGATTATATTAAGTTTGTACACTTGCGATAGACGCACCCTTTATTATATCGGTCGATTCAGAATCAGTGTTTGCGCTTGCCTTCTCCTAAACATACATTTGATATATTTTCGTGAAATTTGGTACATCGATGTATTTTGGCCCACGAACGAACGCTAATGAAAATCGTTGCTATCGGAGCGCTTTTTCGATTGCTTCCCATAAAACGTCTTGAATTGAAAATTAATAACTGTATTAAGGGTAGTGGTGTAGAGTATTTACTGGCTAGTTGCAGCCCATTACAATATTTTTACCTTCTTGATTTCGAATTCCACAAACAAAAAATTTGTTTGTTGATACGAGGAGCAACTCTGAATTTGAAAATTTTTTCTTTGTGTGCTAATAGGTGGTTTAAAGTAATGTAAATATAAATTTTTTTATGGTGTATAATCTGCAATAACCAAAACGTTTAAAGGCTCATGGGGCACAGTTTAGGATTAGACTAAGTGCGTAAAAAAATGTGTTCAATAAATTTAACGTTTATTTCTGTTTTCCAAAAATCCATATCTACAGGAATCTGAATTACTAATTGAGTTTAAGTTTGTCAAACCTTTTATTATAGCCGGAGAAACGCTCACAGGCACGATTGGGGTCAACCACAAGACATTTCTATTTGTAAGAACGATTTAGCAGAAGGTGCGCAGCGACGTAGTAAAGAGCATAAACCGATGTTGATTTCATATGAACATATATATTTTCCATATTGACACAATTTCATTGAACAATTCGAACGTTGTAAGAAGGTTGCCAATTGTATTTTAATTGGTTGTTCATTTAACAACAAGTTGTTCAATATCATAATTAGTACCTGTAAAGTTACAGTTCACATTATTTTGCCATGAAGTAACTCCATAAAGGTAACCGAATACAAATTCAAGTAAACGGATTAAATAATTGAAAGAGGGTAGGTTGTCAAAATTATCCTCATCCATCACATATTTTACAGAAGATATAGTTAGGAAAGTTACAGCGTATAACTTAGTGGCAGGAGTATTATTAAAGGGAAATAAAAGAATAAACATACAACTTGGTTTAGTTGTGCTATCGAAGGCGGAAGTCAATACATGTTGGATGGCCGCACAAGAAAAGAAAACCGGATCTATAGAGTCAATGGCGACACAAACCAAAACGGTGCTTCGACATTCTTGGAGAATGAAAGGAGGAGGATGCCACAATTCCTTTGTCGTTCATACCTACTTAAAGTTAACCGAATGCCTATATGAATCGGAAAGCGTGTGGCGTCACAGTAAAGGGCTATTTTGGGTCCTCACAAGTTCTCTCTGATCTAATTGTTAAAAATTTGTAAAATTGCAAAAAATCAGACAAAAAAGCGCTTTGCACTTATTGATGATTCATCTCTGGCGCTTCTAATTTGCTTTGTTTAATGCAGGCACAATGATGCAAATATTTAACGTATGTTAAATTCATTCTCATTATCCGTTGTTTTTGTTAAATAAAATTTCAATAACAATGAATGAAGAAGCTTTTTAATGCAATTTCTTTTGAAAGAACAATATTTATTTATTCTCTCGTCTCGAAGATAAAGGATTGAAACACAATTTTAAGTACACCTTATAGCTCCACTCGCATAAAAATGTATACAGAAGGAAGCTCGATATTTGCGTGACATATGAAAAATGTGAACTAGCATAAACTTCCGTTGCAGTCCAATTCTCATACAGAAGCAAATCGACTCATTCTCTATATGATTGAGAACGTTCGATCAAAATGGGCTCATATGTGATAATAGTATACGAAAAAGACCATGGCTCAAGATGGATGAAACTTAGCAAACCACGATAAAATGGGCACTATTTCCACGTAAAGTAACGTCTTCTATTTTTAGAAATTGGAAGTGTATCAAGGGTCGCGGCCAGGGGATTGATTCTACTCTTTACTGTAAAGAACTAATGTGATTATTGAGCGTAATTAAAGTGAAGCATCCAAAATTGATCAATGAGAGAAATGTCGTCTTCCATCACGACAATGCCAGACCGCGCATATCCTTAATGATTCAGCACAAATTGGGACAGTTTGCCTGGGAAATTTTGGAGTACCAATTACATAGTTCCAACTTTTCCCAATTTCAAAGCCACTTGTTTCTCTCATGTAGAAAATTCTTAATGGCGCAAAGCTGACTTTAAAATAGGTGTGTGAAAATGACTCGCTCGAGTTTTTCGCTGAGAAATCGTGAGCAATTTTGATGCGCATATAAAGTTGCAACTTTGTCCTGTTCCATGACCACTTATTTTTGTGTTCGTGTAGTAGTATTTTAATAGCGTAAAGCTTAGTTCAAAGTAGTCGTGTGAAAATGACTCCATTCAGTTTCTCGTTTAGAAATTTAAGAAATTTTGCAGTGATGACATATTAATGTTCCCATTCCAATTTCAAAAGGCTGTCGATAAAAATGGCATAATGAAGTTTATTTAAAATGAAAGAAAAAGGAATTTGAATATCAATGAAAGGCGCCACGAACCTTACCCTGGAGGTATATTTATTTATTTATATTTATAAATACGTAGGTACATTTGTATATATATATACATATGTAAATATATGTTTCTGCGTATACGTATGTGTGTACACGTGCTTATGTATGCGGCTATAAATATGTAATATTATGTAAGAAATCGCATATTGTAGTTGTCTGAAGACGACACTTGCATACTCATCACCTAAGGTACAAGGCTTAGGTAAAGATTGAAAATGAAATATTGAACTGTTTCCCCACAGCTTTTGAGTTATTCTCGATGCCTTAAGGACAATTTCTGTTTATTTTAAATAACAGTATGAATATATTAGGTTTCAGCTTTTCAATATTGCGGGTTTTCCTAAAAATGTGAGGATGCGGATCGAAGGCCGCAGATTAATGAAATCGATGTGCTATGCCAATTAGGAGAATATAGATCTCATAGAGACTCTGATCATTTCTTATAGAGACAACAAGCAGAATGACAATATTAATAGACCTCCACCTTGTCTGGTTGCGTATAAAAAGAAGTCAAGGTAAAAATCTATAAGACAAATGAATGTAAACAGAACAAAAAATTTGTTTAAGCAGATATACGCACAAACATGAAAAAAAGGAAAACGAAGGCATAAAAACGCATAAAATCAAAAATGAAACGTAATGAAAAATGCAACCAAGCACAAGTAAGATTATATGCGCGTGTATGTGTATATTAGTTAGCACATTATTGAAAAAAAAAAAAAAGAAAATGAAAATTATAAAATTAATATTAAGCTCAAGTTCTACAAACAAAGCCAAATAATTAAAATAATAAAAAAATCAATTAAGCTCAACATATACATAAAAATAATTATCATCATAACGAAATTAGAAAAGCAATATTTTGATTATTTAACTATAATTTAAATAAAACGAAGTCATTTTTTTCGACGAAAGGAAAAGAAAACGAAATGCCATTTGGCCGTAAATCACCTCTAGAGGCTTTAGCTCTGCCCGGAGTTATTCTAGCCTACAAATATAGTCAATTTCGTCAAAGACGCCGTGAGGCTGCCAGTAGACGTGTCACGGAACGTGAACTTTCAGCTTTGCATCATAAAATTGTAAGTAAAAGAAAACTTTTTGCTAAGGAAATTACTTATGATGAAATTTAAAAATTTTAAAATTAGACTTAAAGTATTTGCCTTTGAAATGTACGCACAGAGAGAGATAAAAAAAAAAAAGTAAATTTGATTTCTCCCTTTCCTTTTTTTCGTTCTGATTCTATGTATGTAATTTATTTATTTGGGACAATTGAATTTAGAGAGAAAAGACAAAAAGAAAAGAACAAACGCCGATTGTCATCTATATATTTATTCAATTATTATGCTTTTTTAACCTATTTTAGATTTTTTCTTGCTCATAAAACAATTTAAAAAAAATTATTTAAAGCAAAGTCTCTCTCTCTCATTTATATATATAATGCATAAGAATCTAACAAGCTTTTAGTTTGATCGCAAGCGATAATGACGTGTGTGTTCGAATTCTTTTGTATCCCTTGTCCGTAGGCTCATATGTGTACAGTCAACGGCAAAAGTGTCATCTAATATCTCATAAATAAGTTACTAATGAACGTTTTCTTTATATAGATGTTATATGTGGGCCATAATAAGGAAAAACAACAAATTGTCATTAGAAGTATCATTAAGCACTCACGACGGACACAAACTATTGTATTTAGTGCCCAAGGTATAATTTAAATAGGCTAATCCAACTATTCTCATAGCGTTTTTTCCCTCTATACAGGTTTTATACCCAAAATTCAGTTGCAAAAGCGAAACTATAACTCCCTTTTTCAAATTTTTTTTAATATTCAACGAGAAAAATCTTTTGGTGAACTTAATAATTATGCAATATTTTATATATGCTGGTCGATCTGACGCCTAAAGTTACTTCACTTCCGCAGTATGTTTCAAGTCGATGTCGCTTTGTCATTCTTTACTCAACATCAATATTTTGTGGCGGAACAAGGTTTGTTGTTTTGAACGACCTTCACGATTTTCGCCGATGAGCAAACGGAACTCGTTATACCAGCGTTCCGCAGTGGCAAGGCATGGTCTCTCATATTCGAAAATGGATGTAAGTCGATCGATGCGCGCTTATCTTTAGAAGTCACGCTTAAAGTCGTAAAAAACATTGCGCGAAAATTTAATTCCATTTTTTTGTTTAGGCATAATTTTCAAGTCACTGTACACCAATCGTGCCCAAATAACAAAATATTCAGGCGAGGAAATACCCTTCCAATTGAAGTTCCTGTACTCATGACGTTTGCCTTATAGCACGAGTAATGAAGCTATGGCGCTGAAACGATCATAATACATATCTTGAGAAACTGAATACAAAAGAAACAATATAGTCGGGTAGCATGGCTTAATGCAGTCCTTTATTTATTTTCATGATAAAATATCGAAACATTTTTCTGCTTCACTTCGCAAGATATTAGAAATCAGATCTTATTGCCATATAACGGCTGACTTTAAATGAATACCTTTACACGGCAATAATGCGGTTAATTTTTACGTCAAACTACTGTTATGAGTCAATAATCGCTCGAAATATGGATAATTCGATCTTTTGTCATATAAAAGCCCACCATTCACAAGAGCGGTTATAGAAACTCTCGCTCATTCGGTTCTAAATTTTCACATCGATTAAGAATGCCGAAACACTATTACTTAGTCGTTTTGATTAAAAAATTTTGAAAATTGCTAATTTTTCATATAAGGAGTGATCGCAAAAATGATCCAATACAATCTGATTTTAACAGAGTTCGCCCTTGGATCTAGACAAATCGATGTACAAAACTACTTTAAAACGTTTCAAAATCGTGATTTGCAGATTGAACATAAAAGTGCATACGCAAAACATCTTGCGTTTAACTTAAAAGGCACAGTGAAATTTGGTACACATGCGTGTTTTTGCCCAACGACGAACATTATTGAAAATGATTAGGATCGAAACATTTTTTCAAACGCTTCCCATATAACGTGACTAAATTCGAAAAGTCGTTATATAAATACCTGTAGGTTTATTTAGGTTATTCAGTGGTGGGCCGTGAACCACTATAGTGGTTTTACTTGCTGTCATTTACTTTTATTTCCGCTATGTAATTTATTTTTATTGTTTTTATTTAAAAATGAGTCGTAATTATTGTAGGCAGGAATTGTAGGAGTGAATATTTGAATGAATAACAAGAAAACTTAATTACCGAATTTTCAGCTTTCAATTGAAAACTGAATTGTTAAAAA